GTGTTAACCAGGCCGGCCTTGAACTCCTGGGCTTAAGATACCCTCTGGCCTCAGCCTCCTGAGTAGCTGGCACTACAGGTGAGCCCTGCCGTGCCTGGCTCACGTACAAGGTATGTGGCCATGTGTGCAGTTCTCTGGGCATGAACCTGGGAGTGGAATTGCTGGACTGTATGGTAGCTCTACTTTCGTCCTGAGTGGCTGCAAACTCGTCTACAGCAGCTGCATTTTACATCCCCCCCAGCAATGCGTGAGGGTTATAATTTCTCCCACCCTCCCTGACACTTGACACTTGTCTCTCTGGATTCTATCATCAGTTTTATAATGGAGAATTCCATCCTAAAACATGTCTTCCCCATCCACATGTGACTGCCAAGTCTTCCTTCCTCCTCAGTGGACATTTTGTCTGTTCCTGTAGTCACCATTCCCTGCTCTCCGACTTTCTTTTTTTTTCTGAGACAGAGTCTTGCTCTGTTACCCAGCCTGGAATGCAGTGGGGCAATCTTGGCTCACTGCAACCTCCACCTCCTGGGTTCAAGTTATTCTCCTGCCTCAGCCTCCTGAGTAACTGGGATTATAGGTCCCCACCACCACGCCCAGCTAATTTTTGTATTTTTAGTAGAGATGGGATTTTACCATGTTGTCCAGGCTGGTCTCAAACTCCTGACCTCAGGTGATCTGCCCACCTGGGCCTCCCAAAGTGCTGGGATTCCAGGCATGAGCCATCCCACTCAGCCTTCTCTCCCACTTTCTCACCATCAGGCCCCATTTCCATGCATAGAGCCTTCCTCACAAAAAGACCCTGTAGCTTCACAGCAGGGCCTTCGCTTTGGCCATTGCCTCCTCCAGGTAGCCCTCATGGCCTGTATGTGGACTTCCCTGTCACTGCTTATATTTGTCCCTGCCAAAATCTCACGTGGAAATGTAATCCCCGGAGTTGGAAAAGGGGCCTGGTGGGAGGTGTTTGGGTCATGGGGATGGATCCTACATGGATCCATGCTGTTCTCTCCATAGTGAGTTCTTATGAGATCTAGTGTTTAAAAGTGTGTGGCACCTCCCCACACCCTCTCTTGCTCCTGCTCTAGGTATGTGATGTGCCTGCACCCTTCTGCCGTAAGTAAAAACTCCTGGAGGCCTTCCCAGAAGCCCAGCAGATGCTGGTGCCATACTTGTACAGCCTGCAGAACTGTGAGCCAATTAAACTGCTTTATCAATTACTCAGCCTCAAGTATCTTTTTTTGTTGTTTTTTTTGAGACAGAGTCTCACTCTGTTGCCCAGGCTGGAGTGCAGTGGTGTGATCTCAGCTCACTGCAACCTCTACCTCCCGGGTTCAAGTAGTCCTCCTGCTTCAGCCTCCTGAGTAGCTGGGATTATAGGTGTGCGCCACCATACCCAGCTAATTTTTTTTTTAAGACAGAGTTTCACCTTGTTGTCAAGTTGGTCTTGAACTTCTGACCTCAGGTAATCCACCCTCTGTGGCCTCCGAAAGTGCTGGGATTACGGGCATGAGCCACCTCACCCAGCCTAATTTTTCTATTTTTAGTGGAGACAGGGTTTCACCATGTTGGCCAGGCTGGTCTCAAACTCCTGGCTTCACCTGATCCACCTGCCTCAGCCACCCAAAGTGTGAGGATTTTAGGCACAATCCACAGCGCCCAGCCTCAGGTATTTCTTTATAGCAATGCAAAATGACCTAACACAGTGCTGCTTTCACAAGCTCCTCTTTGTATCTTTAAAAGCAGCAAAAAATCAGATCCTTGCCAATTTGGGTTTAGGGGAAATAAAAACAGCAGGGTTCAAGGATGTATTTTATCATCAGATGTCCTCTGGATGTCCTCTAGAGGTCTTAATGCCACCCTCCTCTTAATCACCTTCATAAAAATTATATCATGATTGTACTTTATCAAAGTTGAATAGTCGCCCCCTGTTAATCTGGGTAGTAGCCTTCTTTACCAGACTGGAAGCACCTTGAGGGTAAGTGTATTATTAGTCAGTTCTCATGCTACTCATAAAGACATACCCGACTAACTTATAAAAAAGAAAACTTACAACCGACTCACAGTTCCACGTGGCTGAGGAGGCCTCACAAACATGGCGGAAGTCGCAAAGCACATCTCCTATGGCCACAGCAGCAGACAAAACAGACTGAGAGCCAAGTGAGAGGGGAAACCCCTTATCAAACCATCAGATCTCGTGAGACTTACTCACTACCAGGAGAACAGTATGGGGAAGACCGCCCCCATACTGTTCAATTATCTCCCACAGGATTCCTCCCACAACAGGTGGAAATTATAGGAGCTACAATTAAAAATGAGATTTGATAGGGGACACAGCCAAATCATGTCAATGGAGATCCTGTCTTGCTCTCTTTGTGCCAAGCATAGTAGATGCTCAATTAATGTATTGAAATAGTTTTTGTTGTAAAAAGTTTTAAGTGTAGTGTTCCACCAAAATTTAAAAATAATTCTCAAAAAGTAAAATGCTGGCCGGGCGCGGTGGCTCACGCCTGCAATCCCAGCACTTTGGGAGGCTGAGGCGGGTGGATCACGAGGTCAAGAGATCGAGACCATCCTGGTCAACATGATGAAACCCTGTCTCTACCAAAAATACAAAAAATTAGCTGGGCATGGTGGCGCGTACCTGTAATCCCAGCTACTCAGGAGGCTGAGGCAGGAGAATTGCCTGAACCCAGGAGGTGGAGGTGGCGGTGAGCCGAGATCGCGCCATTGCACTCCAGCCTGGGTAACAAGAGCGAAACTCCGTCTCAAAAAAAAAAAAAAAAAGTAAAATGCATCATAACTTGCATACAGAGTGTTAATTTTATGTCTTTATGTATATGTGGCAACACTACAGCATGGCTGTTTGAACCCAAAATTCCTTACAGCTTCTCTCAAAACCCCAGGGCTCCGATGAGAATACTGAGTGAGACAGCCTAAGCCAGTCTGCTAAACACTGGAGGTGAGCCTTGAGTCACGGTGCCCCACCCGGTCAGACCAGTGCTTCCCGCATCCCAGCGCTCACAGCCCTGGCTCTTTATTTCACTGTCTGAAAAGAAAAGAGCATGGCCACTGTCAGACCTTGTTAGCCTGTATCTGCGCTGCAGATGAGCAGCATTTCAAGTCATCTTGAGTAAAGTCTATGTTGCTGGCAATAGTGTTATCCTGACTTCTCTTCCCCAAGTCCTGCTCTCCGTAACAGAGATGTTATGAAATGCTGTCACTTAAGTCTTGCTTCTCCCTTTCTTTCCTTTGGGAGCACCCAGCTAATGGAAGCCTCGCAGGTGCAGGCAGTCAGCGATCAAAAGATGCTCTGCAGGTGCCTCCCCCAGCCTTCCAATAACCAACTGCTCACATAGAAGCTTCGGAACCCAGGTGAGGCAGGAAAGAACATTATACATCCCACAGGTTTGGAGTCCACAAGGCTTTTAGCTTCTAAGAAGGCAGCATGAACTAGAGCCACAGTTCTCTACCTTTAAGGCTGGGCAGCAGCAGCATAACCCAGGAACCTACCAGAATGCAAATCCCTGAACCCCACCCTTCCTACCGGGGTAGGGCCCAGCAATCCGCACTTGGCCAAGTGTTCTAGGTGATGAGAGGCTCGCTCAAGTGTGAGAACTGCTAACTGGAGTTAGTGAGTTCAGAGAGAGCTCCACCCCAGCAGTCCCTAACAGGGTGGAAGGGTGCTCCCTGTTTCCAAAGCCAGAAGACAGAGAACAGAGAAGACCTCCCTTCAGGTTCACCTGAGTGAGGGCTCCTCTGGCAACTGGCTAAGGGCTTCTTTGGAAGCTGCACGGATAGCGCAGACAGACAATATTGTTCCCAACAGCCTCACGTGGGGCACTGGCACCCCGCTTCTCTAGCACAGAGATTCATGTAACTTTCTTTTTCCCCTCTGATACTTATGAAAGCCTGAGTCCTGAGCTGCAGCCTCCCTTAGCGAACTTTCTTGAATCCTTGCCAACCAGGCCACCTGCAGCATCATTATAATCCCAACAAACTAGAACACACCCAGAGATGCTGCCTAGACACTGTCAGCTTTGGGCTCAGAATGGAAATGACAGTGCAGGGGCAGGGGAGGGCAGGAAGAGCCAGGAAGACAGAGCAGGAGGCAGGAATGGAGTGCTCAGGGAGTCGCAGATGGCGTCCGCACTTACAAAACGCTGGCTTTTACATTGGAGAATTTCGGCCTCTGGAGCCGAGGAGAAAGAACTGCAGCTCACCTCTTAGGCATCTCCTTCCAGGGCCAGGAGATCCTAGAACACCTCGAATGCCCATGGCAAGTTCCTGGCACCAATTCTATTACTTGGGGCCAGCCAAGTTTAAACAAATAGAGTGTGGAGCGAAGGAGGGAGAAGAGTCAGGTGAAATAGGGAAAAAAGAGGGACAGCCAGGTGCAGTGGCTCTCGCCTGTAATCCCAGCACTTTGGGAGGCCGAGACAGGTGGATCACTTGAGGTCAAGAGTTTGAGACCAGCCTGGCCAACATGGTGAAACCTCATCTCTACTAAAAAATATAAAAATTAGCTGGGCGTGGTAGTGTGCACCTGTAATCCCAGCTACTTGGGAGGCTGAGGCATGAGAATTGTTCGAATCTGGGAGGCAGAGGCTGCAGTGAACAGATTTTTCCACTGCACTGCAGCCTGGGCAACAGAGCAAGACTCCATCTTAAAAATAAAAGAAAAAAGAGGCCGGGCGCAGTGGCTCACACCTGTAATCCCAGCACTTTGGGAAGTCAAGGTAGGCGGATTACCTGAGGTCAGGAGTTCAAGTCTAGCCTAGCCAACATGGTGAAACCCCGTCTCTACTAAAAATATAAAAATGAATAAATAAATAAAAAGGAACCAGCAGATTTGCCCCTTGACCTGCATGGAGCCATTTCACACTGTCAGCCGCTTCTCGCCATCTGCTTGCAGGACTGGCACGGTCAGAGCAGTCGTGACCATCTTAGCATCCTCGGAGCCTGTGGCTCATTCAAATCAGACAGTCAGACTGCTGAGAAGAAAATTATAGAGACAAAGTATTTATTATTTTCCATTTAAAAAAAGGAAATAGTGCCCAAGAGAGGAAATTTCCTAAGGAAACAGCGCTTCTTGCTGCATCTTCTCTAAATGACAAACCCCCTTTGGCAAAAGAAAACAATTAATGCAACTAGAACTGCCTTGTGAGAGCAACGTTTAATTCTGACCCAGAATTATAATAATTGTTGAAAGTTCTATTAATTCCACCACACTGTGTAGGAATTATTACTCAGACTTTTCCCACCCTATCACTCCTGAAAAACCACAGTGGTAAACCGTGTCTGGCATAACTGAGGAAGTACAGTACATTTCCTGATCATCAGCCATCGCAGAAGAGCACACTTAACGTGCATCTCAAGTCGTCTGGAGTCAAGTCTACATTGCCGGCAATAGTTGTGTTATCCTGACTTCTCTTCCCGTAACAGAGATGTGCTTTCAGTGAAATGCTGAAATGCTGTCACTTATGTCTTGCTCCTCCCTTTCTTTCCTTTGGGAGCACCCGGCCAGTGGAAGCCTCGCAGGTGCAGGCAGTCAGCGACGTTGTGGGCGATATAGTAGAGGTTCAGCATGGCCGCAGGGCTGAGAATGTCCACTTCCGGTTTCTTCTGTTTCTTCCCATGAGACTTGCCCTGGCCTTTTCCTTTTTTCCCTTTACCTGGCTTTCAAAGACAAAAATAAATATGGAAGGAGGGAAGTTAGTTTTTCATTTTATTATTATCTTTTTTCAGGTGGAGTTTCACTCTTGTTGCCCAGGCTGAAGTGTAATGGCACAATCTTGGCTCACCTCCACCTCCACCTCCTGAGTTGAAGCAATTCTTCTGCCTCAGCCTCTGGAGCAGCTGGGATTACAGGCGTGCACCACCACACCCTGCTAATTTTGTATTTTTTGTAGAGACAGGGTGTCTCCATGTCGGTCAGGCTAGTCTCAAACACCTGACCTCAGGTGATCCACCTGCCTCAGCTTCCCAAAGTGCTTGGAATACAGGTGTGAGCCACTGCGCCCAGCCTCTTTTTTTTGAAACAGAGTTTCACTCCCACTACCCAGGCTGGAGTGCAGTGGCATGCTGTCAGCTCACTACAACCTCCACATCCCGGGCTCAAATGACCCTCCTGCCTCAGCCTCCTAAGTAGCTGGGATTACAGGCACCCACCACACCTGGCTAATTTTTGTATTTTTAGTAGAGTCAGGGTTTCACCATGTTGGGTAGGCTGGTCTCAAACTCCTGACATCAAGTCATCTTCCTGCCTCGGCCTCCCAAAGTGCTGAGATTACAGGTGTGAGCCACCGCACCAGGTCGAGTTAGTTTTTATAAACTTGATATCTTCAGTATTTCTGTATTGAACGAGAAAAAAATTCCTAAAAAGAAATGAGTCAAAACAGCAGCCACACCAGTTTGCATTGTCTTCTCTAAATGACAAACCCCCTTTGGCAAAAGAAAACAATTAATGCAACCAGAACTGCCTTGTGAGAGCAACGTGTAATTCTGACCCAGAATTATAATAATTCACATGCAATCTAATCTGCATGGAAGTCACATGCAATCTAATTTGACAAGTGTTTATTAAGCACCCAGATTAAAAGAGACCCAACCTAATGCAGAGTGTGGCCCTTGTTCGAATTCTTATTTGAACAAGCTGCAAAAAGATGTTTTTGAGTTAATCAGGGAAATCTGATCATGTCAAAGAATTATTAGTAATTCTATGAGGTCTGATAATGGCATCGGATGGTAGAAGAAAATGTCCGCACGCTTCTGAAGCACACACGCTGAAAGCTGCGGGGATGAGATGAAAGGAGGCCTGAGGTTGCTTTAAAACACTGCAGCTCCCCCACTGTCCCTCACCCAGAAAAAACAGAAAGCAAATGTGACAAAATCCTAATCATTTCTGAGTCTGAGAACTGGATATATGAGGATTTACTTCACAATTCCATTTTCACTTATGTTTGGAAATTTTCATAATAAATATTAAAACAAGTTTGATAATCAGGATGCAAATATATATTGTGGCATTTGTTTTACAAGTAGTCTCTACCTCATTAAGCAGTGATGAGGTTTAGGTGAGCCACAAAGATAAGATACTAAGCACAATGTCTGACATGAAACAAATAATAAATGATGATTTTCATTACTTTCCTTTCTTTTTTTTTGGATATAGGGTCCTCCTGTGTTGCTCAGGCTGGAGCGCAGTGGCACAAACTCAGTTTACTGTAACCCTGACCTTCCAGGCTCAAGTGATCCTCCTACCTCAGTCATCCAAGTAGCCGGAACCACAGGTGTGAGCCACCACATTTGGCTAATTTTTTTATTTTTGAGAGTAGAGACAGTCTTGCTATGTTGCTTAGGCTGCTCTTGAACTCCTCGGCTCAAGCAAGCCTCCCATCTTGGCCTCCCAAAGTGCTGGGACTACAGGCTTGAGCCACTGTGTCCAGCCCGTGCCATTATCTTTAATACCACCAATCCTCAGAGCTGTATTTCAAAGTAGGTAGGTATTATTCCTGCCTTCAAGAAAATGTAGGGGCTCCGTGAGGTTACCCAGCACATGGAAACCCATGTCCACCAGGCTCGGAGTCTATTCTCCTTCTATGACTGCCCCGTGAGGTTGGTGTTCTCTGGGAAAATGAATGGATACCATCCTAAACTGGAAGTAAACTTTACATTTTGAGCTTATCAACTTGTTTTTCATGGATTGTGCTTTTGTCATATCCAAGAAATTTTTGCCTAACCCAAGTGACAAACATCTATATTTTCTTCTAGAAGTGTTAGAGTTTTTGGTTTTATATTTATATTTGCTAGATAACTGAGTTCAGAGGACTGAACTTCTCTATGTCCTCTGACTCACACATCCAGAAAATAACAGATGGAAGCATATTATTAAAAAGTGTTGGCCGGGCACGGTGGCTCACGCCTATAATCCCAGCACTTTGGGAGGCCGAGGCGGGTGGATCACGAGGTCAAGAGATTGAGACCATCCTGGTCAACAAGGTGAAACCCCGTCTCTACTAAAAATACAAAAATTAGCTGGGCTGTAGTCCCAGCTACTCGGGAGGCTGAGGTAGGAGAACTGCTTGAACCCAGGAGGCAGAGGTTGCGGTGAGCCAAGATCGTGCCATTTCACTCCAGTTTGGGTAACAACAGCGAAACTTGGTCTCGAAAAATAAATACATAAAATAAAATAAAAAGTATCTCTTATGGCCAGGTGAGGTGGCTCATGCCTGTAATCCCAGCACTTTGGGACACCTAAGCAGGCAGATCGCCTGAGGTTGGGAGTTTGAGACCAGCCTGACTAACATGGAGAAACCCGTCTTGACTAAAAATACAAAATTAGCCGGGCACGGTGGTGCATGCCTATAATCCCAGCTACTCAGGAGGCTGAGGCAGGAGAATCTCTTGAAGCCAGGAGGCTGAGGTTGCAGTGAGCCGAGATCACATCATTGCACTCCATCCTGGGCAACAAAGAGTGAAACTCCGTCACATAAATAAAAGTGTCTCTTGTAGGCAAGGGAGAGGAGAGGAAGGTATAAATGTTCAAGGACATCGGCAAGGGCTAAACATTTCTATAAAATAGATGTCCTGTTCAAAGCATTTCAGCCAAAAAAATGTCCCAAGCTAAACAAAGAGGAACATAGTTCATATGTTAAAACTACTAAAATACATTTTTGCTAGGTGAAATGGAGTACATTCCTAGATACAGACCCTGAGAATGAAGATGAGACATACCTTGCAATGCAGTTGCCTGGCTTCTCTGAGAGAATCCGAATGAAAATCCTACGTAACGCATTCTCCTGGCCAAACCACCCCATCAGGTATGGCATGTACATTTTACCAGAAACTCTTAAAGACTTTGGGTCTTGATTTTCTTTATGACCGTATACTTTCTTGCATACCAACCACACTTGACTTAAAATATGTGCTTTAATATTTAAAATGGTTTGGGACCTAAAATTTACATAAAAGTTTGACATTTTTGGCCGGGCGTGGTGGCTCAAACCTGTAATCCCAACACTTTGGGAGGTCAGGAGATGATGGAGACCATCTTGGACAACATGGTGAAACCCTGTCTCTATAGCCAGGTGTGGTGGCGAGCGCCTGCAGTCCCAGCTACTTGGGAGGCTGAGGCAGGAAAATCGCTTGAAATCTGGGAGGCTGAGGTTGCACCATTGCATTCCACCCTGGGCAGCAAGAGAGAAACTCCATCTCCAAAAAAAAAAAAAAAGAAAGAAAAACCTCGTGACACTGTGTCTATATTCTGCCTATAACTAGAGCAACCACATAATTTACTGCCCAAACCAAGACACTTCAACAAATATAAACAAATATAAACTGACCCTGTCCCAGGCTGGGGACGGGGGGACGTACAGTGGTCTCTCTGTCTTTAACAGTCTCCCAACAACCCCGTAGTCACTTTCCATCCCATTACCCTCCGCACCTTTCCCTAGTTAATAGTAATTGTTTATGTTTATTGTTTGTTTCCCTGACCAGAGGTTCTATGAATTTACCACTGAATTCCCCAGCCTACACCAACATCTGGCACACTGCAAGGATGCATACATATTTGCTGAGTGAATGAATACATTGCAACCGAGATGCAATGCAGGAACAGGATTTAGAAAGCAAATGTGGATTTCTGCTTTTCTGAGTTTTAAGATCCCTCCTTCATTCATTCAACAAATATTTAACAAATATCTACTGTGTACCCAGGCCCTGTATTAGATGGGGAGCCAAGGAGATCTCATGGTGCTTACAGTCCAGTGAGGTCTGAGAAAGACACTAGCCACCTAATCACAAACACACATCTACTCATGACCCGGGCTGTGAAGAAAGGACCCTATTGGCTGGACATGATGGCTCACACATGTAATCCCAGCACTCTGGGAGGCCAAGGCTGTCGGATCACTCGCACCCAGTTTGAGACCAACCTGGGCAAGATGGTGAAATCCCGTCTCTATAAAAATGTAAAAAATTAGCCAAGGGTGGTGGCTCATGCCTGTAATCTCAGCACTTTGAGAGGCCAAGGCAGGTGGATCACAAGGTCAGAAGTTCGAGACCAGCCTGGCCAATGTGGTAAAACTCCATCTCTACTGAAAATACAAAAATTAGCCAGGTATGATGGCAGGTGCCTGTAATCCCAGCTACTCGGAAGGCTGAGGCAGGAGAATCACTTGAACCTTGGAGGCAGAGGTTGCAGTAAGCCGAGATTGCATCACTGCACTCCAGCTTGGGTGACAGAGCAAGATTCCATCTCAAATGGAATGTTTTTTTTTCTAATTTTTCAATTTTTCAAATGTTTTTTTTTTTTTTCTAAATTAGCGGGACTCAGTGGCATACACTTGTAATCCCTGCTATTCTGGAGGCTGAGGTGGAAGGACCCTTTGAGCCCAGGAATTCAAGGCCAAAGTGAGCTACATATGGCACCACTGCACTCCAGCCTAGGCAACAACGCAAGACCTTATCCCAAAAAAAATAAACAAAAACAATAAATTAATAAAGAAAGGCCCTATAATGCCTATAATAGATGATGTTATAACAGCACAGTAGGGGCAAGGGCTGACCTAGTCTGGGACATTAAAGGAAGAGTTCCCTGAGTGGCCTGTGGGCTAAGGGTAGGGAATTCCAAGGCAAACAGCCTACACAAAGTCTCTGAGGCTGGAGGGAAGGTGAGAAAAAGAGACTGAAACCCAGAAAAAGCCAACGTGGCCAGCCCAGAGGCAACCAAGAGGGCCAGTGAGAGCAGCTAAGTCAGGAAAGGTAGGCAGGGCGCTGCTCTGGCTTGCAGGCTCTGTGCACTAATGTGTTTGACCTTCATTCAAGGAGCATGAATTAATTGGCATTTGCTTAAATGGCTATGTACAGCATTCTGCCTCAGTTCCCTGGGCCCTGAAAGAAATGGCAATTGGCTGGGCACAGTGGCTCACGCCTATAATCCCAGCACTTTGAGAGGCTAAGGTGGGCAAATCCCTTGAGCCCAGGAGTTTGAGACCAGCCTGGCCCACATGGTGAAACCTTGCCTCTATTTAAAATACAAAAATTAGCCAGGCATGGTGGTGCACACCTGGGGTTCCAGCTACTTGGGAGGCTGGGGCAGAAGGATTGCTTGAGCCCCAGAGGTAGAGGATTGCGGTGAGCTGTGATCACTCCACTGCACTCCAACCTGTGTGACAAAGCAAGACCCCGTCTCAAAAAAAAAAGCAACCATGGAATGATTCAATTTAAACCAAGAAATTTTACTTAATCATTTTACACGAAACAAACTGGAAACAACACAGAAACTTAACAATGACATTTCTACACTAGAGTCTAATGCGGATCAGGAGTAAGGCTTTCCAAGAAAACACAGCCAAAGCACCAGAGGTGAGGTACAAAGGGCTGTGGGCACTGGGGAAACAGAAGGCACGGTCCTTCTGAACCAAGTCTCAAAGAAAACGGATCAAGACAGGGAAGGCGCAAGGGGCTTCCAGAAGAATGCAGATTTAGTGTGGGATGAGGGGTTTTTGGTTTTGTTATTGTTTAGCAGAGAGGATAAGGCAGAGAAAGCTCGAGGTTGAAGGCCCCTTTAGCAAGCGCTCTGTGCACCCAGCTCTAGCGTGCAATACTTAGTTTAGCAGACAATGGTGCCTCCCTAGGACTTGGGGCAGGAGCTGGAAGGTCACAGCCCTTCTGGAAAGAACAGCGAGGGTGGGAAGGAGGTCGAAAGTGACTGGAAGAGGGCTGAGGAACAGGAATGCTGTTGGCAGCAAGGTGGTGGCACCAGGGCTCACTCTCTACTTCCTGAGTCTGCAGAGCAGCAGAGTCCCGCGCGGGGACTCAGGGTGGCAGCGGCAACTAAGAGCCCGGACCCGTCACAGTGGGCATGGCCTGGCGCCCTGAGGTCCCACACCATGGTACCACCCCCCCACCCGCCTTTATTTGCCATATCAACCGTCTGGGTGTGAGGGCTGCTCAACAGGACCACGACCTAGAACCCGAAGAAGGCTCGCCTGACTCCGGCTGCTGCTGCTGCGCGCCTGGCAGGAGCCGACTGCCGGGCACCCCCTGTTCCTGCATCTTTCGCCAGGCGTTGAGGTCGCCCCTTGGGAGAGGCAGTGACCTCGGCGCACGCTCCTCTCTGGAACAGCCTGGGCTCCACGGCGCGTGCCCGGGCACCCGGTACTTCAGGGAGGCGGGGATTACCATGGCGATCCCTTTCTCAGCTGAGTTGGCGGCCGTGGCATGGACTCCGGATCCCGAAGCCCTTCGCATCCACCCGGGCCGCTGCCCCAGCGCCCGTTCCCGCCGCGCCCCAGCCCCTTTTCCGACCTCCTTGGGGAACCGCCGCAGACCCGGCCGCTGCACGCCTCCCCAGGGTCGCTGGGAGGGGCGCGGCCGGCTCAGTGGGCAGCCAGCTGCGGAGCCGCCTGGACGCGAGGTGCCTTCCCGCCCCAGACCGCACCGGCGCCGAGGCACAGAGGCCGCAGGAGCAGTGCGCTTAGGGTAGGCGGGCGCCTTGGGGGCGGGGCCGCGCGCACAATCGCCGGGGGCGGGGCGGGGTCTCTCTGAATTACCGTTGCCAGGGCAACGCGGCCGCGCGCGCGGGCTGGGCCTTTACGTAGCGCGAAGCAGACCACGCCCTCCAGCTCTAGGAACCCGAGTTCGGTGCTGTAGTGTCTGGGCTTGAGCGGCCCGAGAGGCGGGCGCAGGGCGACGCAGCGGGCGCGGGCGCGGGAGGAGCTCCCACTGGGGTGGCGCTGGGGTGAGAGCGCAAGCTAGGCGGCTCACTCGGCCGACTTGGGAGAAATAATCGGAGAAGCTCTTTTGGAAGACGAGCATAAGGACTGACGGCGAAGGGGGAATATCATGTGAAATATTTGCAAAAGAGCCCGATAAAGAGAGTCAGGGCCCGAGAGACTAAAGGGCTGGAGAGGGAGTTCATTTACAGGTAGGATTGGGCGAGAAAGGTACAGTTCTGCCTCCAGCCTTGCTGGTTCCAGCCTCCCTCTCCGCAGGGGAAGGCTACACTTTGGGGGGTACGACTCATTGTTTTTTTTATGACTTGTCATTCCTTTTTTTTGGAGACTGAGTCTCTCTCTGTCGCCCAGGCAGGAGTGTAGTGGCGCGATCTCGATTCACTGCAACCTCCACCTCCCGAGTTCCCAAGTTCAAGCCACTCTCCTGCCTCAGCCTCCGGAGTAGCTGGGACTACAGGCCCCCGCCACCACTACCGGCTAATTTTTGTATTTCCAGTAGAGATGGGATTTTGCCTTGTTGGCCAGGCTGGTCTCGAACCCCTGACCTCAGGTGATCTGCCCGCCTCAGCCTTCCAAAGTGCTGGGATTACAGACGTGAGCCACGGCTCCTGGCCTGTGATTCCGTTTTATTCAACAGTTATTGAGCATTTGCCACGTGCCTGACACTCTTCTAGGCCCTGGAAACTGAGCTCTGAATAAGGCAAAGTCCTTGTTCTCTTAAGGGGTGTTCTGGGGGAGGTGGTCGTGATTGAAATGGAGGGCCTGGAGACATTAAAAGTGATAGGGACAATATGGCATACTGCATTAAATTCATGTGACCACTAGGTGCTCTTTTAGATTGGCGACTGGGGAAGGCCTCTTTAAAACAGATCTGGATGACAAGGAGCAGTCAATTATGCCAGAATGAGGGAGAGGAGGAGGAGACTAGACCAGGAAGCAAGAGTAGGGTCCTGGAAGGCTCTGCAAGGATCAGATGTTTTGTTTGCTTTCTCTTGAAAGATGAACTGGCTTTCAAAGGGGAGTGTTTATGTTCTACGTTCTCATAGATACGCTTTCCCTAATCCTTCATTAATAAAGCAAACCCAACTTCCAACTACTTTCAATATGTCTGTGAGTTTTTCTTATGAGTGCATATACCCTGGATAAAGCAAATTCTCCTGCTCTCCACCTCTTCTCTGCTTGCCTCTGTCTTCATCCCTGGATGGGGCTGGCCCACCCCAGTGTCTTGCACTTTCTTTGGGTTATCTCATTTCAACCAAGGTTATCCCTGTGAGATCACTCCCAAATCTGTTCCAGCCCTGCTTTTCCTGACGTCCAGATCAGAGATTCAGAGTCCTGCTACAAGGTTTTTGTTTTTATTTGAGGTGGAATCCCACCCTGTCGCCCAGGCTGGAGTGCAACGTCATGATCTCTGCTCACTGCAACCTCCACCCCCTGGGTTCAAGCAATAGGCGTGTGCTATCACACCCGGCTAATGTTTATATTTTTAGTAGAGATGGGGTTTTGCCCTGTTGGCCAGGCTGGTCTTGAACTCCTGACCTCAGGTGATCAGCCTGCCTTGGCCTCCCAAAGTGCTGGGATTACAGGCGTGAGCCACCGCACCTGGCCTCCTGCTATAGGTTTTAAAACTCAGCTGTCTTGAAAGTAGATCAGTGGTTGAGGTGTGCCATGGTGGGGGAGGATTGACTCTGCAGTGGGTTAAGAGGAAAATTCCGGAGTGATGGAAATTCTCCATCCTGATTGTGGCGGTAGTTACACAGGTGCAGGGCTGGCTGCATTTGCATGGCTCAGTGCAAAATGAAAACAGGAAGAAGCAGGGAAAAGTGCCACTAAAGGTACCAAATTAGAAAGCTTTCCTTTTCTTTGCAGTCTCTAGCAACCTGTTATGCTGTTTTTATTTACTGTTTAATGTGTTTCCTTCAGTCCGGGAACACTCCCTTTCCTAGCTAACTTCCCATAGCAGATGGGTGACCCTTGAGGGATTGTGCCCTCTGTGCCAGGATGTGCCTGGTACCATGACTGTGGTGGACAGGATGCTCACGTGTCTCACTCTGAATGTGCTGGGGTACTGCCATGCCCTGCCCTAGATAGGGGTGGGAGTGGGGGTAGGGTAGGGTGAGGGTGGAGATTGGGGGTTGCTGGGGGTGACAGGAGGTGAGACTCAGCAGGAGCTAAGATGCCAACCCCCTTCCCCCAACATGCTCCGTTTCCCATTCAATTTTATTGACAAAACACAAATTCAAAGGTAAAATTAAGGCTGGGCTCGGTGGCTCACACCTGTAATCTGGGCACTTTGGGAGGCCGAGGCAGGCAGATCATGAAGTCAAGAGATTGAGGCCATCCTGGCTAACATGGTGAAATCCTGTCTCTACAAAAAAAAAAAAAAAAAAAAAAAAAATTAGCCAGGCCTGGTTGCACATGCCTGTAGTCCCAGGTACTCAGGGGGCTGAGGCAGGAGAATTGCTTGAATCCAGGAGGCAGAGGTTGCAGTGAGCCGAGATTGTGCCACTGCACTCCAGCCTGGCCGCAAAGTGATACTCCATCTCAAAAGAAAAAGAAAGGTAAAATTACTAAGAAATTTTCACACCGTGAACTCAGAGCATTAACCCCCAAGCATGTGGCCCTTCTGAGAGTAGGACTCCGTGTGCCCACTGGGGTGAAACAACCCATGAACCTGGCCCTGCACAGGTCTATACATTTGTCAGAATTAATTAAATTATATACTTCAAATGTGTGCAGTTTACAATATATAAATTATAACTTGATAAGTTGATTTTGAAACTTCAACTCTTAGGAAACTTACCTAAAACATCTAAAATAAAACATGGCTGGGCGTGGTGGCTCACACCTGCAAGTCCTTTGGGAGGCTTGAGGCAGGTGGATTGCTTGAACTCATGAGTTTGAGACTAGCCTGGGCAACATGGTGAAACTCCATCTATTAAAAAAAATATAAAATTTACTGGGCATGGTGGCACATACCTGTGGTCCTAGCTACTTGGGTGGCTAAGGTGGGAAGATCACTTGAGCCCAGGAAATCAAGATGGCAGTGAACTGTGATTGCACCACTGCACTCCAGCCTGGGTGACAGAGCAAGACCTTATCTCTAAATAAATAAAATCAAACAGTTCTCATAGCAAATGTTCATCTCCTCCTTCTGTTTTGGATGATGGCCTCAGCAGCCATCTGGGTACCCAAGCTAGGAACTGGTCACCTTTGATCCATGTCTCTCTCCTTTTATCTTAAACACTCTCATCTGCATCTACTTGAGGCTGCCTCCTGACTTCCTTTTTCTTTTCTTTTCTTTTTTTTTGAGACAGAGTTTTGCTCTTTCACCCAGACTACAGTGAAGTGGCGTGATCTTGGCTCACTGCAGCCACTGCCCCCTTGGTTCAAGCAATTCTCCTGCCTCAGCCTGCAGAGTAGCTGGGGTTACAGGCGTGCGCTACCACATCTGACTAATTTTTGTATTTTTTGTAGAGATGGGGTTTTGCCATGTTGGCCAGGCTAGTCTCGAACTCCTGACCTCGGGTGACCCACCCACCTTGGCCTCCCAAAGTGCTAGGATTACAGGCATGAGCCACCATACCCGGCTGATTTCCTTTCTTTTCTTTAATATATTTTTTTTATTTAACAGAGACGGGGCCGGGCGTGGGGGGAGGTCTCCCTATGTTTCTCAGGCTAGTCTTGAACTCCTGGACTCAAGGGATCCTCTTGCCTCAGCCTCTGAAAGTGCTTGGATTACAGGCATGAGCCACCACACCTGACCCTGACTTTTTTAAGCCTGTGGATGGTGCCACCTGCTCCCAATCACCCAGCTGCAAGCCTCTCAGTGTGCCCTCCTGCACTGCTTGCCAAGCCTTGCCTCTCTGGGGGACCGCCCTTCCCCACCCACCTCTTCCTCAGACTGCCACCCCGCCCAGGCCTGTGGCTGCTGCCTCAGGCTTCTGCACTCCCTCTAGCATTCTTTCTAAAGCACAGATTTAATCATGTGTCACCCATTTTCTCCTACAAAGAACTCCTTGGTATGGTATGAATATCTGTAGTCTTTCTGAATCTCACCTCAATACTTACGCTTGCTGGCCCCTCATGCCTCATTTTGGCCACTCTCCTCTGCCTCTGGGATTTGTGGTGCTCCGCACCTCCCAGCCTCTACTTATGTGGTCCGCTTTAGCTGGAGTGTTTTCTTCTTGCTTATCATCAGAAGCCTGTTCAACCTTCAAGGCCTAGCACAAACTGTGAGCTCATTAATCACTAACAATACTTTATGCCAGTAAACTCAGCCTCAGCCTCTGGCATTGCAAGAATCTGCACTCCAGTTAAAAAGAGGTTTCCTTGTCTTCTCCACATGAGCAGCCTCTTTTAGATTCCTCACTGTATGCCACAGCAGTAATGATAGACGTTAATGGAATAATTTTCATGGTTCATT